GAAAATATCGAGTCGCTGAAGAAGATGAACATGTTGACCGCAATTGTGATAATAATGATATGATAACGATATAGCAACAGCAGTTTGTTTATGTACAGCGCAAATATGTTATTCAGTTGGATGATTAACCAAATACCGAAGTTTTGGCCCCTGTCTCACGGGATTTCTACAAGGCAAAAAGATGAGTTGGTTTTGGAAGTTCAGTTTGTGATAAGGGATGATAAGTCTGTATTGGTTAGTCACACTGTTTCCGTTGTGCATAAATAAACCGTGATTTAAGCTGTCTCTTGTATGATCACTAACGCAGGAACAAGATATCGCATCTTCAAATAATCATTTGATGACAATAATGTGCTGATAATCAAACTGACGTGATAACTGTACTGACGATACTGATCAAGAGGATGCTGATATGTCAAACTGAGAATGAACAAAACTCTCTACTATCTTGCAGACTCTTGATTGCTCGGGACAGCTGATCGCGCGATGTTTTGCACTTCTTCTTGTGCCTACCAGATACCTGAGAAGGCAACCGAGAGGATACTAATATTTGTGTTGAATAGTTAACAAGTTGTCAAACCTGTCTTAAACTACGAATGAAAGTCGAATACGAATGAGCCGCCTTCTATGGTAAACCAAATGAAAGCAAAATCTTATGCCTTCATGGCCATTTACGCATATATGGTCGATGTTAGCTTTTATGACCATCTATTTTCGCACTCATCTGAGCCTCAAGCAACGCTAAGCTTACTGTACATTGCATCGTTTGAACTTCGGAGCAGTGAAGCGGACTTATCTTTCACTTCTTCATCTTCAGCCGTAACAGTTCAGAAATCTAAAATGGGTTTTCAGTCTAAAATATGCACATGAGCAAGACAGATGATTCATGAAGAATCCCTTTACTGGGATTCATGCAGATGGGCATATCTCGTTCATCTGCCCTCATCATGCTCCGTCCAAAGTCTGTCACTCCATCAGCTAAGAGAAACTGCGATAAAGATGATCAATGGCGAAATGCGAGCGTTTCAAATTAATATGCAGATCCCTGAAGGCAAATGATTCTTAAACAATGGGTACTTCGTAAATGACAACTGCGAAGGCGCAATCGAAATTCTGCAGTTTTTGAAGTTTCGCCACCGGATGACAAATAACCATTGCGAGATCGCGCCCATTCGAAAAGAGCCTTCGATTCAGCCAATGATGAAGCGCTCGAAAATAAATAACATTAAAGGATCAGCATTGTTGTTTCTGACCTGCTTATTATACACTTGAACAATATGGATAAAAGTAAATTTTAAAGTAAATTTCCTTCCTTAATATTGACATGTCTGGCGTGCTGCATCAGATTATCTGTAGCAAATGATCACTGACATGTAACTAACAGATTGAGATCCATCACAGTTGTTCGTGAGGTACAAATAGAGTCTATAGGAAAAAATAAAAATTTGTAGGAGAAGGGGGGATCACCTTCCAACATTCAAGCGTTGGTTCCGAAAATAGCGGTTCACTTATATACAACGCAAAAGATACTGCGTTTAATTCTGTGACTGGAAAACACCGGCGTTTTTTCCCGTGTATCACGGGTCTTCTTCATGGTAGGTTAGTAATGAAGTATATCGTGAATGTGGCTGATCGTCCGCTGCAGTCAATAGTTTTGAGACCTTCTGACTCCAAAACTATCACAAACCACAGAACAACGCATAAAATCATTAATTACAAATAATCTATAGAGCTACTGCCGTTTGGGACCAAACTGAGTCCATTTTCAGAGCAGTGTTTATATACTGTAGTCGGAATAAAGGCTTCAACAACGGTCTACTATTTG